AACCAGTGATTGTAATATATAAGAAGTCCTGCTCAAATATGGAGCAGTAAAAAGAAATTGTGTTCACAGAAAATAAAATCCAGCAGTACATAACATTTTTTAAAATGCTTTATTTGATTTTAACATGTATGTGTTATATATTTCCAACAATTCTGGTACAGCGCTTGATGTTTGTTAACTGGAAATAATTCAAAAAGATAAAAATTGCACAGTTCAGTACAGAACTGTGACAATGACGCAGCGTGATTAGTAGAGGGATTTGGTTTGTAATGTATGCTACGTTGTCACAGAGAGGCTGTGTGGCACCCTGAGTATTTTAAGTGTTAAAAAAGTCTCAGAATTTGATGAACTTCTTTTAATGTGCCCCCCCAATCACTTTTTTTTTTTTTTTTGCTTTTGTTGTGGCAATAGTTGACATCATAACACAGAGTGAAAAGCTCATTTCCTCCCACCTGATTTGATGCTAAGGCGATATTTAGTTCCGCCAGTAGGTGGCAGTGGCGGATCACACAAATGAGTGACTGACAAAGTAATCCCTTATAAAAGTAGTAATCAGTTACCATCAGTAACACAGAACTGCTGTTTTGCTGCGTTTCAGGTGAGAGCGGTAGACGAGCAGTATATACATTTATGTAAAATTGATACTTATTTAAAGTAACGTGACCAAATAAGGGGGTTAATTCAGGTTATCCTTGGGTAACGCTAGTAACGTGGGTGCGCTAGCTAAATGATGTTTCTCTCCTGCATTAGCCTGTAACTGTGTTGTTTCATCAGAAATATGATAGAAAACAATTAGCTGGTTTCAGTGAAAGTTATAAGAAATGTTTTGGTAAAGCAGCCAGTACATCTTATGTTGTGGATGTTTACTGGTGACTGGTTTACTGGCTTACTGGTTTATTGTCAATTAGTTACTATGTTTATGTCCCCAGACATGTTATCAGGTTCTTCGAATCAATTTGCCTGATCTTGAGTTGTAGCTGAGTTAAAATCCTGGTCTGTAGTCAGCAAACTGGTTGGGACTGCTTGTGAAGTCTTCAGTGGAGGCTCTTGTGATGGTGTGCTCTTTACTGGAGTGAACTGGATC